CCTAATTAATTCTAATCCATCTTAGACTTAATTAATCCATTAAGTCCAAAATAAATTAGGCTTAATAAACCTCTTAAACCTTAATTATGTATAATCTATTTTAGACCTAATTAATTTATCCATCCTTACCCAAATTAGGTTTAATTAACCTTTAAAACCTAATTAAATCTAATGCATCTTAGATCTAATTAATCTATTAAACCTTATCTAAATTAGGCTTAGTTAACTTTTAAACCTTATTAGGTCTAACCCTTATTAGACTAAGTGAATCTATTAAGTCTTACTTAAATTAGACTTAATTAAACCTTAACCCTAACTAGGTATAACCCATATTAGTCCTAATTAATATATTAGGCCTTTCTTAAATTACACTTAATCCTAATTAGTTCTAATCCATATTAGAATTAATTAACCAATTAAGTCTTACTTAAATTAGATTTACTTAACTTATAAACCTGATTAGGTCTGACCCCTAATAGACCTAATGGACCAAATAAGTCTTTCTTAAATTAGACTTAATAAATCTTTAACCTTGCTTAAGGCATTTCACATTAAACTAACCTAAACCTTAGGTTCAACCTAAATTGAACCTAAGTCAATCTAAATCTTAGGCTTAACCTCAATCGAATCTAAGTCAACCTAAACCTTAGGATTCAACCTAAATCGAACCTGAGTCAATCTAAACCTTAGGTTTAACCTAAATCAAACCTTAGTCAACTGAAACCTTAAGTTCAACCTAAATTGAACCAAAGTAGACTAAACTTTAGTTTCAAGCCAAATTGAACTAAAATTTTACATTGAACCTAAGCCCTAAGTCTAACTTAACTTAGACTTAATTCAAGTTGAACCTTCTTCTGGTCTAGTTCAATCTAGACCTAACCTAAGTCTAACCTAATAGACTTAGTTTGGGTTTGGTTTAAGTCTAACTTAACTTGGATCTAGACTAAATCAACTAAATCATTGAGTTAACTCAATCCAACTTGGGTTATCTCAATCTTTGCGTCAGTTTAACTTGAGTCGGGTAAACCTAATTTAAGATTCTACTTTAAATTTTATCAAAGCCTTAACCTCAGCTTAATCAAGGATTGATTTAAGTCTAACCTAACTCGGACTTAAGGAAAACTCAAGTATAAATTAATTTAGGCTTCATACAAGTCTAATTTGATATAACCTAGAAAGTTAACTTGAATTAGTTCAGCTTAACCTGATCTATTCTTATGTTACCTAACTTGATTTTATTCAGCTTATTTTAAATCAAAATAAAATCAAGTGAAATAAGTTTGATTTTAATCAAATTAAATCTGGGTTAATCATATTAAACATGTGGTCGATTTAATAATTTTAAAGATAATTTGAGGAAAGATCAACCAAATTTAGGCTAACTCGAATTATTTTGAATCTCGCTTTAGATCAGTTCAAGCCAACACTAACTAATCTAAAATTAAATTAGAATGACTGAAGGCTAAGTAGGGTTTTGCCTTCTCGTATGAAAGTAAAAGCTAGCCTCAGTTAGAAACATCTTGGGTTAAAATTATCAAATCAACATAAATAACAAAAAATCCATTTTAAAAGTAACTTAAACTTAAACCTTAAAATGTAACTGAGTTTGAGAAGATATTTTGAAGGAGGTAACCCGTGGTTACTAACAAAATATCTTCCAGTCACTTGTAACTAATCAAACCGCAAATTTTATTGACCCGAGACGACGGAGCCATTGACATATTGACTAGGTTGTCTAAAAAATAAAAATTCAACAACTTAAATCAACAGATTAAAACATAACTTTGTATTAACTTTGCTTTACAGGGCCACTGAAGACAAAAGGTGAAAGACATCCTAGATTTACTTTACATGTTATTAGGATGTGCTAACTCTAAAAATCTCCAAAACTCAAAATGGAAAATCTCAACTAAACCTTCGACAAAACGACAAAACAAAAGAAAATAAAATGAAAAAACAAAACAACATGACACAACAAATTGTATGAAAATATTGAATTCTTAAGGATTTACTACCCATTGGATAGGACTTTGACATTCTTTTCCAAGATGAAACCACTTTTATCTATGAGAGCAAATTTTAACCTTAACCAGGTTTCTTGGGTAGTTTCAACTACTTAAGCTACAATTAACTGTAAGGGCCTGCTATTATAGGAAAGAGAGAGCTCCATAATGTGTATTAATACCTAAATCTCAGGTTAAGGGGTTTTTCATGTGGTCTTTCTTGCATGAGTATTTCCAAAACCAAACACTTTGGAGTTCTCTTTGCATTGTTTTTCACAAGAATGATTTCCCCACATAATTCTTTTGTTTGGTCTTATTACTATTTGTCCAATTTTCTCCTCCGATTCCTCATTTCTCAACATTATCTATCTAATTTAAGAGAAAAAGTTGTTCGGAGCAAAGGGAATGTAATAGGTAACAAAGTGGCGACTCATCGATGACAACAACGACATCTGCTACCGACATGACAATGGGATTTGCGACGACGACGACATTCCGGCGGCGACAAGCCCAAACCCTAAGAGTAAAGAAACATTGGAAATCAACTTAAATCTGATAAAATTCAATCAACTTCAACCAACTTAAATAACTCAAGTAAAACTAAATTAAAATTTTAAAAACTTTAATTAATTCAATCAAACTTTAATGAAATCTAATAAATCAGATTTAACTAAAATTTCAACTTAAATAAAATTTAACAAATTCATTGACTTTAAAATAGATCTTAACAAATTTTAATGAACTTAAATGAATTTTAACAAACCTTAATACAATTTAAAAGCTTCAAAAACACTTTTAAATTAAATAACTTTAACAATCAATTCTAAGATTAATTTCAACCAACCTCAACATATTTTAATAGAATTCAACCAATAATAAAAACTTTTGAACTCTTAAAATAAACTTTTATAATGACTCCTAATAATTCCTAGACAAATCAAAATTTAATTTAACAACAGCTCTAACAGATTAATCTCATAAAATCTAAGATTTTCCATCAAATAAAATTAAACACCTCTTTCAAAATCAAACAACCAAATTAAATTAAATTTTAACTTAAAGATAAACTTTAAAAATTGAAACTATCTTAACAAACTCAAGTTGCTAGCTCAAGTGAAGTTAACTTCCATCAAAGCCCACTCTTTCCACAATGCTTCAACATTGGCTATC